GTTTTAGTTGATAAAAAATTTGCTGGTGCATAGAAATTGAGGAATTTTGGTATGTAGTTATCACAAAATATAAGTAAGAGATAGATAAACTAAGTCAATTTCATATTAGCATTATTGAAAAGATTGTTTGATTTTGAGTATTTCATGAACTTATATGATGTTCTGCTGTGTTAACAAAGTTACAAAGTTAATATCATGCACCAAAATGAGAGATTATTTAAGATGTCTGAATAGAAAAGTACTTTTTCAGATAAGCTTAAACATATTTAGCCATTGATTTCAACCAAGACAAATCACTGAATTTAAGAAATAAATTGATTTGTAAGTCAAAGAACCTACCGTTCTGTTAATAGTATGTATCGAAATTATTTTTGAAAATAAAATGCCAGTATCAGAAGAATTATTCATTTAGAAAATGACATTGGATTCTAGTTTTGAATTGTTACACTAGAATGTACTATTATAATAAAGATATATATCTTACCTAATGTTAACAATATAAACGTGGTATATCCTAGAATACTAGATGTCATCTTGTCACATAACATGGCAGTCACTACCTGTACAACTACCAACTGACTAACAACACTTCTATCTCTACTACCTTTATCACAGATCAGGGGTCAGAGGTTATAGGTTAACTTTCACTTCCATTATACACTCTCTTCTTACCTGGGGTCAGAGGTGAAAGCTGACAGGTAATTATGAATAATTAGACTTGATTACTGTTCAATCATGTCATGATTGTTCTTTCAATCAATAGAAATAAATATCTTATTTTCATTCTTCAGTTCATTGTGAAAAAAATAAATTGGAACTGATTGAAAGGTTCTTCAACAAAATCTTACCTATGCTGATGAAAAAACCCCTAAATTTCAATCTTAGGACTTTGAATACTTAGTGGTGTATTTATGGTATTTCGACATTATGTTCATTTTGCAAAATTTTGAAATGTAGCCAATACTGCCATGATTGCTTTGACTAATAATTCAGAAGCAACAATTGTCTTTGACTTCAGTAGAGTTCAGAGGAGCATTCTTTACTGATCTTTATTGATAATTATGACTTTTTTGGCAATTTTACAGCACAACTCATTAATAGAAAAATGGTTAAGATTTTAAAAGAATGCTAGATAATAACCTAGCTTGAAAGCTCAAATGCCTAGATATATCCTTAACAGCCTTGTTTTAAAGCATCATACTAGACTAGGCACTTTTAAAATGTAGACAATAACATTACAATTATTTATGTAAATACAAAAAAATAGTTTAAAACGATAGACAATATAGTCTGGATTGTATCTTGATATACAATGGAATATTATTAATTACATGACAATCAATATTTTGATTACAATATGTTCTTTATTTTTCCTGTTTATATTTTTAACTACTATTTAAACAATAATAAAAATCAATCAAACTTTTTAATTAGTTTTTTATATTTTGAGGTAATTTCAAATGTATTTTAAGTATTGATTCAATCAAATAATGCTGGAGATACTTTTTAACATCAAATAAAACAAAATATTTGATCGAAATATGCTTTAACATTAGTACTAATGTTTTATGTCAATGTTTTTTGGAAAGAGGGTTAGTGTATAACCTGATTTAGGCAATTGTATTTTTTTTTATTTACCTTCCTGTTGATTGATCCTGTTCAGGTTTTATATCTACATTAAGTGTGGGCCTATTGCGTCCTTGCATCTAGAGATCTGTCAATTGGTGTTATTTTGCACATATAACTGTAACCTTTCAATCGATGTGTTTTGAACAACAGTCATTAAACAATTCTGTCTAAAGAGTGGTTTCCTATGACATATATAATGAAAATTTTTTTAGAACAGATAATACCAGTCTCTTTAAGATTTGAAGCTTCCATGTTATTATGTTAAAATTGGGATAAGTTTGATTTTTCTCAATTTTCTGTTTGAGTCATTTTCCATGATTTAAGTCTTAAAGTTTCTGAAGATATTTTTTTTACTTATATAAGAGTTATATATATATTGACTTATCAATATTGACTTGTTGTTAGGCACTAGTATGAAAAACTAAAAACTAAAACTTAAAAAAAAAATTATTTGTTGGCATAAACCTTCTCAGGATAAGAATTTTTATTTGATCTATTGAAAACTTGCATAGTTATCTCATTCATCTGAGTCTCAAAAAGACAGGTCAATGAACTATAATTTGAAGCAGTTGGAATGCTTTTTATGAATGATAGTACAATGTACTTAATGAAGTAACTTTAATCTGACTGGTACCCTTTAATAAGGGTTTAGTAATAAAAGGAGAAGATTGAACAGTCATTAGCTATTATACAATGTTAAATAACAGTAGAACAATAAGTAAAGAACAATAAAGACTATTATAAAAGTAAGGAGATAGAAGGTTATAATGATGTAATATAGACCATAGATTAAGTAACCAATAGGTAATTTTATTTCTTTACAATTACATGTACTGAATTCTTCTTTACTGACATTATGTCAAGTGTTGTAACAGTTTTAAAGTGACATTGTTAACTTACTTCCTATTTACAAACCATAACAGTCTTTTACAAGGTTTAAAGCAGATTTTCTGTGTTTCTTTGATACACCAACCTCGGAAATTTGCATATTCATCGCAATTTTGCACTCAAAATCACTGAACCTTGATAATATTTTTTACAACAAATTTGTGTTGCCTCATACCTTCCTATACATGATCATAAATTGTAATGAAATTTGAATGAAACATACCTACAATATGTCCAATAAGATTAGATCAGTGCAAAGTAAAAAGGATACAAAATATCCTATGATTTTATCTTCAATAAGATATATAGTATTTTATGTCTTAAAAGGAAGAATCTTTAAATTCTCTTCTAAGTTCGTTTGTTGTTTGTAATATTTTTAACTATAAACTTGATTTAAGACAGGTTTAAATGCTCTAGAAAATATAAGCAGCAAAGATTTAGAGGATGGTTTGTCAAATTACTTCAGTGATATGAATTAAAGACTGACTATCTTGATCTTTTTTTATTTGTCTCCATGTAATATTGGCCATAAGATCATTCATATTATTAACATTTATATGCTATATATTCCATTGTGTTGTTGCTAATACTATGGATCACTTTGGTAATTAATTTTGAAACACATGGAGACACCATATTCAATTTTTTAAACCATATCCAATATAAACAGTTGTCTGACAAATCACAAGATATCAACATAATGTTTTATATTGATAAAAAATTATGGCTTTCTTTTTGATACCTCAGTAATGTTGTGATATTTTGAAGTCATAATTTAGATACTTAGATTCAAGTAGCTTTGATAAATTTACAAGAACTCTACTACTGTCCTCAATTCCATGTTCTGTAAGATATTGTGAGAGTATTAAATGTGTGTGTGTCTCATTTAGAGCAGTTACCATATACGTATGCGTATTGGGATGAATAATTTGCGAAAAACAAAGGATGATATTAAAACCTGGTATATCTGGTAAGCATGTTCAAATTCATGCAATACTTGATAACAATTTCAGACAGCATGACATTCGTTATTCTTACTATAAAAGCCATACAAATTACTTGGACCGTGATCAAATTATATTTTGTTACCACCGTAGAACATCTCTATGTAGAATTAATTGCGTTAAAATAACACATCAATATACCCGATTTAGTTTATTAATTTCAAATAATTTATTTGCAAATATTTACAAGATACATTAAATTATAATCAGTTATTATAACTCCTGAAACGATCTTATAAACATAACAACATGGCAATGAAGGAAGACAAAATGGCAGATCCTCAACATCCATTTGCAGTATTTTCGAACGCAAAAACAAAAAACTGTGTATAGTGCATTATATTTGGAAATATACGGTAAACACATAAGACGACAGAGATAAAAGTCAGTTTATTTATTTTTGAGTACTTTCACCATGACAAAAGCCAAATAGTTTAACTTTAAGTATTTATTTAAAGCTGAACTATTCCATAAAATATTACCAGACATTCCACATGTCTGTGTGTCTAGGTGTCAACTTTTATATGTTATGTAGTAAATATCAAAATTAGCAACATGGAATCATTATCCCAGGAAAATTTTCTGTTTTGTATTCCATGATGATATATATTACCATACCAATAATAGCCATCTCATGTAAATATTTAAATGTGTTTGTTTTACAGATGAGAAAGAAACACATGAGGCATTTAGTCAACATTTTGAAGAACAATTAGATCTGTATAAAAAGATATCTATAGTAACATTGGCAGAATTGTCAGGGAAAGAAGCTGTTCTTAGTGATGCATTTCTTAGTCATGTCTTACAATACAACTCACCTCATCTGACTTTTATTACTTTTGACTTTCATGAATATTGGTAAGTAATCTGTAAACTCACATTACCTAATATTTTTGACCTTTATTATTATTTTTCATCAATATTAATAAGTAATTTCATCATAGTGTTTTATTTGAACTTCCAATAGTTTGATTTTTATTTGAACTGAAGAACTTTAAGCTTATATATTGGAGAAGGACCACTTGGACAATCTTGTCCACCAGCAGAATAAACAACCAGTTGATGTGTAATAATATATCATCATTAGATATGTGGATTTTCTGAGTCAGATGCCTAATTGACATCTAAGTAATACAATGACTATAAATTGTATTTTGTAGCCGTGGAATGAAATTTGAAAATGTCTCGTTATTAACAGAAGGTATAAAAGACATCATTAAAGATATGAGATATTGCTGGTTAGTATACATTTCTTATTTTCATATCTAAACCTTAAATAACTTTAATCCAATTTACTGATCAGACAATTATCCTAACTGCTGGTCAAAAGTTTCTATGATATTTCCTACAGAAGCAATTTGCATCACAGTCATACAATTTGGCAATTTAAATTGCATTATATATACCAGATGATAACCATTTTAATATTTATAATAATTTTGATTTTGAAGGGTTGATGATAAAGGGTTAATATGTGAGCAGCGTGGTGTATTTAGGGTTAATTGTATTGATTGTTTAGACAGAACAAATGTAGTTCAAACAGCAATAGCTAGAATAGTGATGGAAACACAGGTAGGCCTACTGTGATGGAAAAATAATTGTGCCAAAAAAGTTTTGAAAGTGACACTTTTTGGTGGTATTTTAAAGGTATTCCTTAGCATTAACTTGTGAAAGATCCACAATGTTTCCCATTTTGATAAAAAAAAAATATTGATATAACAATGTGTTTAATATCTAATCTGCCATGTGATAAAATATACATGTCTGATGATCATGTAACTAAATTATATAACTGTCTGCTAGAAACTAATAGTGATAGTTATAATCATTGATGCATGTATCATTTATATCATATTTATTTGTATTAATGTGATAATATAACATAATTATAGTTCCGAAAACTGGGTTTATTGCCACCAGAAGAGATTTTACCACCAAGCTGTAGAATAACCTACCAACAATTATGGGCTAATAATGGTGATGCTATCAGTAGGCAGTATGCTGGTACAGCAGCCTTGAAGGTATTTATTATTATGTCGCCTGATTCTTGCTTCCAATCTGAATGACAGGACACACACAAATTCCACACATATTGTATCATTAACAAGACCCAATCAGACAGGAAAGAAAAACGAAAAAGGTATTTGCTCACTACTGGGTTTAAACATGTTCTTTTTCAATTTATAAAACTATTCCAAGGGAGAGGACTCTCAGAATGTAACAATTGAATTTACTATTTTAAAGGGAGATTTTACCAGAACTGGTGAAAGAAAATTTGCTGGAATGATGAAAGATGGAATGAATTCAGCAAACCGGTAAGATATTTTCTATACTTGGAACCCAACCTTTTGGGGTTAATAATTGCAAACGGAAACTAAACATTATTGAACCTAAGTAGTGACAAATTACTATTTTTGATCATATGTGTACAGTACAATTCAGAGTTACATTCTGTACGATCTTCAAGCCAACCCTGATTTCAGTGAGTTTGTTGGCCTGGGATTGTTTTTATTAATTTTGAGGTTATATAATTGCAAAAACATGTGAACCACTTAGATACTGGTTTTGTCGATAGATGTTTTTTATCTGAGTATGTTTCATCTAAACTTTATATCTATATTTGTAGATATTACTTAAGATTCCGTGATGATTATCGTCAAGCAGCTATGGATATTATATTAGGCCAACCAGTCTCACAAGAAATATTAACCAGTAAAGTAGGAGAACTAGATGTTGTTGATGATACTAGTGAACTGATAGAGAAAGAAGAAAATGTGAAGATGTTAATAGAAGATTGTAAAAAGATGTTAATAGTGGAACCTGAACAATGTTTAGGAGGTTGGAGTCTGATTAATGCTGATCCTCAGTAAGTATTTTTATCAGACTGAGATCTGAAGAGTGCTGAATTGGAAATCAAGCTGCATGAAAGGTAGAAATCTCTATAACTAGAGAGAATTTTTTTTCGAACTTTATAGATTTACACTTACATTGCTTACTTCAGAAAATTCCATAATACTTAAAACTGGAAAAGTTTCAGATACTTGAATATAAGATTGATTTAGATTGATTTTGTCATTTGTTCAATATCTCTTTGATTTAAGTTTTAAAAAGGCTTATTTTAGAACATAGCAACAATTTGTGCTTTCAACATCTTACTGTCATTTGTAGCATTGTGTGTTAGATATTTTTTTAAATGACTTAATATGATATATTGGTAGAACTGGAGACCCTGATAGACAAGAAATGGATACTATTTTATTGTTAAGTCAAAGAGCTATTTATATTGCTTGGTAAGGATCTAAGTAATATAATTAATACATTATCAACAGATATAGATGTTTTCAATATCAATATGATTTGACTGAATCATTTACATCGCAAAAACATACACTCTCATTCCCTTGATATGCATCGCTTAGTGGAGGAAAATCCAAGACCTCTAGCTGAACAAGTAGAATTTCTGCTTCTCCTGGACTAATAGTTCTTGATGATTGGGAATTAAAAATAAATGGGAATATTGTGTAACTGTCTTTGCAATAATTCCCTCATTACCCACTGCATAGCCTTGTCTGTCTTTGGCGGCAAATCTGAAACAGAGAAGTAGGACATTAAACACAAATTCACTTTTCATTTTAGGTATGATGATGAAGAAGATCAGGTAAATCAATATCAGAAAATATTTGTTGAAGATATAGAAAAATTAGAAATAGGTAATAAGACATTTTGTACTTGTTACTTGTTAGGCCTATTCTCATAACAGCCTCTAACATTGTGTACAATAAAACTATTATGTTGTGATGTGGCTATAACTGCATGTGAAAATGTGAATAAGAACCTGAATGTTTAGATGTCATTACATGTATATTGATGAATATATTGAAATATTTAAAGTTAATATTGCTGATGAGAGTTAATATATTATATGTTATATTTGTAGGTTTAGAACCTGGTATATTTAAATCACGATATAGTTGTCTACGTATTTATTATCATTGTTTAGCTGAGGAGGGATTCTTTCATACATTCCGTGTTCCCAGTACACGTCTATTTAATAATGTTATTATAGCTGTAAAAAATCAGGAGGAAGCAAAGGGTAAGATTCATTGACTATTATCAATGAGTAAATATCACTAGATACACAATTAGTATATAGTCAGTTAGAGCTTATAGAATCTAACCATCATTTGTTTGGTTAGGTTAAGTAAATAGTGTGTGAAAGTAAGTCACCAGAGTCTGGTAAACCTAACTGATAATGGGTTGTATAATCCAGGATAGATCCATGCCTAGCTGGTAGAAAGGGTCCTTGAGAACCTATCTAAATTAAACATAGTGCAAAACATTATTGTATGCTATGATTCTAGCTGGTGATATGCACCACCACCTGTAATACCCCAATGAAGCTAAATGAATGAATGAGGCTGGTTGGGAAATCATTTGCAAAATTGGCTTCTAAAACAATTTCTTCCTTCCAAATATATGGTATTTTTCAAATAAATCTGAACCTGAAATATTCTAGCTCAATAACATGTTTCCCTTTATGATATTTTATTACATTGTTTATTTAGAATCTTTACGAGCTATTGGTCAGTCATTTATTGCTAGTCAAGAGTTATTGTCCATGAATTTAGATGTTGTTGAGAGACAGAAATTAGAGAGGTGAGCTCGCAATACCCATTGTATTTATATACTTAGGTGATTAATGGGTTCATTTACACAATATATCTTGATCTGTACATTTGTACAGCCTTAGTTTTTTTAAGTTTAAAACAGTAAGTGTAAAGCATAGATGATCATACAAAATAGAAGGCATTGGGTAAAAAATTAAATGAAATGGGCTTTAACATTATACATTTTGTAATGTATTGCAAAGGTTGGGATGTTGGGAGTGCAATATGCCACGAAGACACTCCAGATATTAGCCTATTAAATCCAAACATGTAGATCCATACTGCTTTAGTGCATTTTGGTACCAGTGCTTTAGACCTCAAGATATTTAGAACAAAATACAATATACCGGTACTATCAATCTATAATCATGATAGCAATTTGTGTTCCTGAGTTAATTGACAACATGATATGTATGTATACATGTATTATGTTTGTATTTTGTAGAAAGCGAACAAGACCTCATCCTGATATAATGGATATACATAAACAACAACAGGAAAATTCTTTAGCTTGTATACATTTACCTCGTGATATATCTACAGATATACCTCTCTCTCTAAAGACCTCTATGCTCACTGATACAGACAGCAATGGTCAAGATAATGCAATTACTGATGAGAAAACTTCCCCTAATCGCAATCCAATCGAATTTCTTCAGGCAGCCATCAGAAGTCCCTTCAAGAAGCCTTCTCTTCCATCCTTCAACACACCCTCTATCAAGTTAAATTTTAGCAAACCAAATATAGCACTGAATTCAGCAGCAAAAGTAGCAGCCAAATTTACAAGTGTTTTCTCTAACTCTGACAAAGCACCTGAAGATGAAATTGAAGAGGTCGCTGATCAAGGGGGACAACCTGAAATTAGTGAATCCAACAGTGATGAGGATACCGTTGAGGTGAAAGCTACTGAAGATATTGATGAGGAAGTGATACTGGGCAGTTGTGGTATCCTAGCAACAAGTCCTAGTCAATTATTACTTAATTCTCAGTTACGAGGTAAAGAGAAGCTTATTTCAAGACAACGGTTGAGAAGCACAAGTGAAAGTGAAAGCGAGTCTGTAACTAATGTTTTTGAAAGAGATTCCGATATAGATGCTAGTGCTCAATTAGTAACTGAATATTCAAGCAATCAGGGTAAAGTTGATGGTGAGAAATTAACCAATCAGAGAAGAGATAGTGCAAGGTTTTCCACAAATAAACTACCTCAATATGAGGCAGCAGAAACTTCACAAATTCCAATACTTAAAATAGATTTAGACACAAACTTAGAGTTAGGTATAGATCAAATAGATTTACAAGAACAAACAGAGAATGATGCCAAAACACCAATAGTTAAAAAATCAGACCACTTACATCACCCTAGTATGAAAATATCTCTAAGTGATACATCATTAAGTCGTCAAGTTGAGGCTGATCGGAGAGGTATTAAACCAGATAATAATCCCTTTATGAAGTTGAAATTAAAAATGGCTAATATTACTAATGTAGGGAGCAGCTCTAGTTTAAGACCACCATCTATAAAATCTCGACCTGTGACTAAGAAATCACAGCGTTTAATGGAGGTATTTGAAATTCTAGTTCGTGATAAATTAGACAATCAAGAAAGTGAAACGAAATTTGTATTTATTTAATTATTATTAGCATATTTTAGATTATTTCCCACCTTAATTTTATTTTAATTTGTTATGGCATGTTTTATTTTAGAATTTTATCAGGCAAAGAGTATATAGATGTTTATAAAGAAATATTATTTTATTTTGTTATATTATTCTCATTCCAGTGCTCAGCAGTATAATCTTTTTTGGTGGTTTATTTTGGTCTCATGCCATTTTGTCCATATATATGGTGCATGTATTTTCCCAATAGTGCAATTAACTTATTATTATAAGCATATCTATTTTTAATATTTTGAATTGCTTTCAAGTTTTGTTCCATTGGTTGTGGTCTTAAGTTACCAGTTCATAGATTTAAACCTTATATAGTGAACCTCAGGTTATTATCTTCTAGAATTGTTTTCAGAGTTTTTTCTCAAATAATTGTACTTTTTTTACATTGGTTACAGAGAAAATATTCAACATTGCGGTAATGCATCATGATTTCAGATTGTGTATTTAAAAGTCATTGTGCATATAATCTACTTATGATAATGAGATTATTTGCCAGTGCTTTTGTTTACGATTAGAAAACTATCATGTTTTAACATGGTTTTACACCATATAGCCACTGATGCTGTTGACACATGTTCTCTATTAATACTAAATATATACCAATATCATTATTTAATTTGATATAATAGTGATGGTGTAAGTATAGGATAGTTATAAAAACTGGTGAATTATTTACATGCAATGATTGGCTGCAGCCAAACATAATGGAAAAAGAACTAAAACCTTAACCAATCTTAATCAGAATTGATAGTAATGCTGTATCACTCTATGTTGTATTATAAAAGAAGTAAGAAGACAGCTTTTAAGAGTGACTAAAGTATTTAATTCTTCAAGCTTTCGTGGTCGTTAAGACGACTTGATCAGATTTTCACCTGATTTTCTCTTACACTTGACTTGTAAAGCAAATCAAGATGAAAATCATAAATTATAACCTTCTTAATCAATAGAAATTGCTCTCTCTATAATATAAAAGTATGTTTGTAAGATATTAAGGTACTGTAGATACAGATGGTAAACATGTAGTCACCATCATGACATGTTGAAATGTTTATGTCAACAACTATACTAGTACTAATACCTTAGAAAAGTTTTCAACCTAGTATAAATTTTGGGACAATTATTCACGCTATATTCTCCAACATGAAAAAAGATTGTAAGGAAAACCTAAGAGAAAATCATGAAAAAGTAAGAATTTATAGGGGGAATGAGGATCCTGATCCTGAAAGGGGTAATGTTATGAATAAGGTTGAAAACTCCTGTCTATATATATAGGCACATCCTGGGTTAGATGGTAAAATGACAAAAAATGTCTAATTGAGGTCAATTCAGATGGTCAGATGTTGTTGAATCTTTGTTTTCCCCATTTCAAAAATTATTGATAAAACAATAACCAAAAGTTTAGATTTATTAGATTGAAGTATATCACTCAATGATTTTAGTATTATCCGGTAGCCAGTAGTAAAATAGGTTTAAGTACTTTATGCAATGTATTTATTAGTATATATTAACCATATGAACACCTAGTGTTGGAGAAACTTACTGTAGGTTGAAATTTTTTGCAAGAGTTTAAAAGGTTAAAGCTTTCTGTACTGTTGCGTTGTCCATAGCATAAAAAATATAATCACATTGATGATATAACATAATAATATATGTATTAGATGATGTGCCAAAATTATATAACTTTTATATTGATGTCAAAATATATTATCTGTATACTCTCTATTTATGATATCATTGTGTAGTTGAAACGAAGATTACTATCTGTTGTATGTGTATCAAAGATACTTGCAAGGGTTAATCAAGTAGTTTATCAACCAAGGATGATTTAACAGTCCAATATCTCTGAATTTACCATGGACCATGTAAAAATGTTCTTTCTTAACCTACGCTAGCAATGAAGGAGTTTAGTGGTTAATTTGGAAATATTGTTTATAGCTAAATCATGCTTGGAATGTTTTCTCTTTTCTAATCAACCAACAAAGTTAGATATATTTAAAATATTATTTGCCAAGATAAAAATCGCATTATTAGAGTGTTTCATAATGTGTATATCTGTCCCACCTCACAGCAGTGCATCTTTATAGTGATACTAATATTGATAGCTGTAGCACTGGAGTATTTTCAGTAGACATATAATGGCTCACAGAAAACATCACACCGAACAATATTTTTTCTTTCACAGATCTGATTTTATTCACTTTCAAGGAATTATTATAATCTGTAATTGTCTGTTAGTTTTGATTGCAAAAGAACTGATTTTATTGAATAATTCCTCTAAATATTTATTAATGCATAGTGAACAAACATTTATTGAACTTTTACTCTGTAATATGAGACAAATGATCAATTATTAAATTCTTAGAGTTGGTGCATGACGTATTTTGTTGTTATAACATTTGAATCCTGTCTGTTGTAATCATCCATAATTACTACATAGTTTTGATGACGTAACTGATGATATTGAATGATCCCAATAAAAAGTTATTAATGCATAATGAACAAACATTTTCTGAATTTTTACTAAAAAAAAGGAGACATAAGATCAATTATTAATTGCTTAGAGTTGGCGTAAACCTGAAGACAATTTCAGAAAGCCTGTGTATAATATTCTTCATATCTCTTGTGATCACTCAGTACTAATCCTGTCTGTTATAATCTTCCACCACTCATACTGTCTGGAATAGTTATAATATTACTCACCCTGTCTGTTATCTCACATTAGTCTTCCTGTTTTATAATCAACCATAACTAGCCCTGCCTGTTACATTCACCTATTACTCGCCCTGTTTTAATCACCAAGTTCTCATCTTGTTTGTTACAATCATCAATCACTCGCTCTGTCTGTTACAAGCTTCTATTACTCGTCCTATCTGTTATAATCACCCAGTACTCGTCAGTTACAATCACAACGTTATTTGTTACGTTATTACTCACCCTGTCTGCAATATTCACCCATTACTCACCCTGTCCGTTGTAATCACTCATTACGCATCCTGTCTGTTACAACCACGCATTTTTCACCCGGTCAGTAATATTCACCCTGTGTTATGAACATCTATTACTCACTGCCTGTAATAATCTCCAATTACGCATTATATCTGTTAAAATCACCCACTACTCATTCAGTCTGTACTATTCACTCATTCCCAATTATATCCGGCTGTAATAATCACCTATTCCTCACCTCTCTGTGATAATCTAGTTAACCCCAGTGGCATAGCAAGGTTGACGTCCGAGAGGGAGCGAAATATCTGAGGTTGCCCGAATTTCTAACCTGAGATTGTGAAATGATATGTTGGAAAATGAAAAATCATTATGACCTGCTGATCTGCAAATTTCTAAAGAAATAAACAAATTACAAAAAATCGATTTTATTCAATCATAACAATGATAATGATAATAGATATAAAATGATAACAGTCCACCATTTGGTTTCAGACTTATTACTCCCTGAAAGAACATGAAACACCTATTAAAACAACTTTTACCTCCATCCCACTATTTCATTCTTCAGTGGGACAATTAGGAATTTGCCTTAGACGTATCCTTTGTCCATTCATCTTGTATTGTGGTTGAAAAGTCAGTTTTCAATTTGGGGATCAAAATGTTGCCAGATGTACCATAAGGTACCATTAGGTGCCCTGCAATGGTCAAGATTTCCCACAATAATATATATTAACCCAGCACAATTTCATTCATTTCAACAGATAAATGAATTGGTGATCTCATATTCTCTAACTGGTGATGGCAATAAGCAATTTTCTCAAAATATAATAGTCTATAGTTTGTACCTGCAGTTTTTTCACATATATAGTTGGCTTTAGCGTTACAATCTAAATCATTATATTTTCCACCTTGATATAATATAGTACAGTCTTCATTATTATAATTATTAGGTTCTTTATTCCATTTACTGAAATTGCGATTTAAGGTGAACAGATAGGCCACGTTGAGTGAGGGTGTTTGGAAGGCATTTTCTATGAAAATCTGGTTATCCAACTGATGCTTCGGTACCTAGTGTTTTCTTCCCGTAGAAATTGGCACGCTATTTCTGCTCTGCATTGGAAAGTCGAGATACTCTTAAAAACTACACTTGATTGGGACAAACGAAACTCTGATAGTTGCCCTTTTCATGAATGGTGTAGTGCATTGTCATCTCTCGCTTGAATACCTAACAGTACAGAAAACACAAGTGGAATCATAAACTTGTAATGTACATGTATATCTATTCTGTTGCCTGATGACTTACATTATATCTACATTTACAACAGTGTCATAATCTCTCTGCCACACCCATTGACCCTCTATAGTTCTATCATTTAACCCTGTCCACCATCTTCTATAGGTTAAAGGTTGGATGGCCAACTGTTGATTTATAAATGTCTGAAACGACAGATATTTCCTCGTTAGGATAAACTGATAATCCATTAACAGGTGAGATGAAGCAAATCAATATTTAAGATCGAGCAATGAACAAGAAGTTTGAAATTCTTATGTAACTCTCCATAAGCTGAAAGGATAGAACCGAGCAAAGAGTAACATGGCAAAGCTGCTCTCAATATCAGATGTGATGGACACAACGATAACCATGTATCCATGGGGCCCTGGACATATATCATCTATCTTGTGAAAAGTGAATATTGTGTAATATCGATTTACTTACAACTTCATCTTTAGAATCCAGACATAAATAGCCAGCTTGTTGATCCTCATTATATAGATGTGCCTGATCTAAACAAGCTTGGTTGACTTCATTCCACATCGTTAAGGATGTGATATTAGTAGAACTAAAATAATAACAATTTGATCCACCATCACTAAGCCATCCAGGTAAACATTTATTTCCTACAATTAATATTCATGATATCAAATAGTTCATTTCCAGATCTTAAAGTTTATACATGAAACAATGTACATTTTGTTCTTAAATTTTCTTTCTCGATGTAACCTTATTCCAAAGCACCCCAGGTTTAAGCACTGGTTTCCATTATCTGAATTTATCAAGAGTGTATCTGTAGTATCCTGACGACTTCACATATTACTTATAAGTGAACACAATTTTTACAGACCCACATTTATTTACCTAAAGTCAAATTCATAAGAATATATTTTCATTTATTTTGAATTTATGCTAATAGTTTACTCAAAGTATCAATATAAGTTCATAATAGAGAAGAATAATCCATAGTGAATAAATGTCTTACCTGGATCGTTAACATATTCACATATATATCCTTGTTTCTGGCTACAACTGACATCATCAAAGGTTCCATCCCGTGCTATCAACCCACAATCAGCTTCTTCAACATTACTGTTAGGTTCTTTATCCCACTGACTAGGCAAGAATAGTTGGGATAAAATACAAAACAAGTAGATTTGTGCGTTCAATCCATTATTTCCTTTAGGACAGAGATAGACAACTTTTCCATAAAAATAAATTTAAATGCAGTGTTTAGGCCACATTCTGGAAATATTAACAGGGACGTTATTAGTAATGTGTGTCAAGATATTTTGTTAAATTTTAATGTAATTTCTCTTTATGTTCAAACACAGATTCAATGCCAAAGGAAGTACACAAAAGAACTCACATGAACTGTGTATTTAATTTGGTACCATCAGCCCATTTGTAATCTCCTTCTGTGTCTCTATCATTTAACCCAGTCCAATATCCTCTTGAAGGTATTATCTGTTGGCTTATCCAGTACTACAATGTAGCAGAACAACATGGAAATATAGCTTACTTCTAACAGTAACAAATTCCAAAGAAATCAATGTGCTCAGTTCCCTTTTTCATTGAATTCACCAGAAGAATTCAATTCACAGCGTCACAAAACGTGGGAACGTAATGTACGTGAGATCTAAATATAAAGATAATAAAAACTATGACAATCTACCTTTTTATCAGCTGTATCTTGTTTCAGCAGATCACCGCCACCTTTCTGACAAACAGATCTTGCTTGAGACCAGGTAGTTTCACTATTATTAGCAAATAAATAACAAAAATGACCTCCTCTTATCCAATGATCTGGACAGCCTACTGCTAATTCAGCTGAAATTCAGAAACAGAAGATTTCGAGGACGCACCATATATTAACCCCCGGATATTGTATTGAAAGTCTTTTACTGGCGATTTCTTATATACTTTTAATACAGACGAGTACGCAGAACTAAAACTCAAGTATTGATACATGTAGAGATGAACACCGTTCGCACATAGTGACTGTCATGTTATATTTTCATACGTCATCAATAAATATATCTTACTCTTGGATGCTGATTTTTGACAGATGAAATGAGACCTTCCTCCACATTGAAAATCATCAACAACACCAGCTCTGTACATAATAGCACAATTTTCATCAGATCCATTACTTGGTGCATTATCCCACGGACTAAAGATAAACAAAAAACAATTTCAATTTGAGTAATCTCACTTAGTTGAGGTAAGCAATGAGAAAAGATACGAGTCCATAAGCACAGATCTTTTTAGACCGACAAAAATCTGCTAACCGTTGAACCGTTTGTAAAAGGATTATATTTCTCAAAGTGGATTAAAGATCATTGGCTGCATCAACAAACACCAGATTTTTCATAGATTAGGGGACTCAGATGTCTTGTGAGGTAACTTGTTTTCTGTCATATGTGAAGAGCTGTTTTAGTTTTACTTACGTCATAGACGCATTCCATGTGTTACCATCTTCCCATACATAAAAATCTTTGTTGTCAATATCATTGAGTCCAGTCCACCATGGTGTAGAAACACCACCAGCTCTATATGGTAATTCACTTGAGAAAAACTCCTGGAAAAATTCAAGCTGCTTCAAGACTTTTTCGCCAACAATTTTCAAAATAATATGTTCTTTTAAGCAAACCTTGATTATATTGCGACAAATTTCCCGATATCTTCGTTTGATCTTATTCCATAAAATTTAATACTGAGACAAAACCTAAGAAACTGGCTGTGTAATAATTAGGAAGAATCAATAGGTGCTTTCTGTAACTAGTCGATCCTGTCTCTTATGAACAACTACGTTCTTCCTGTACCGACGAAAATTTGCAACTCACAATCAGAAAGAAAGGCTGATGATTGCTTATCAAAAGTAATAGTAGGCATAAAGAGATACGACTTACAACTTCCATGCCAGAGGTTATTGATAGAAGATGCATTGGTCCTCGACCAAGTGGATTCAACGTCTGACATTTAGCTTTAGCATCTGACCATGTTAAAAATTCTGCAGGGTTAGCAGGGTCAGCAATCCAGTAGCACGCAAACATTAAATATGCCCATCTTTCATCGGAGGTAGGTATTGGACAATATTCATCTGAAATGATGTTTTTTTCTTATAAACCGAGTGTGAGAACGAGGATACATTTCATTGTTTTCTGCTAGAATTAGATATCTCTTAGTTACCAATAATGATAAACCTATTGCTGTCAAGAAATAATTTATAGACTTACATCAGGGTAAGATGCGAGAGGCTGTTTACTATACAATATAGTCTCAACTGAATAATACCTCAACCTACCTTCCTTTTTGTTGACTTTACAGATATATGGATATTTACTGGTACAGAAATCATCACTAAATCTGTTAAATTGGTTTATATTTACACAAGCTTGTATATCATAATTATCTGGTTCTGTATTCCAATTGCTGGATACAAAAAGAGAAATTTAAACCTAATAAAATAGAAATAGAAAGGCCCAAAGGAAGAAATTATGGTAGACAATATTCATTTGTTTAAGAGTTGACTGTCTGGCTGTCTATTTATTTTCAGATTCTTCTTTTTCCGAGCAAACGTATTATAGGTCTCTAGTTTAGAACTATAATTTCTCCGGCAGACTAAAATGCCATTTTCAAAAACATCTCTATCCTAGGCATTATCAAATTTCAGAAGGTTCATAATTTAATATCTTAATTCCAACCTACATATTATTCGCAATAGGACCATGTAACCATCTCCATTGGGGTGTAGGTGTTAATTGTTTCTTTAAACCAATCCACCATCCAGTTGTGGGATAAGATTCTGTTTGGACTGTCAACCATTCCTTCAAAAATAGACACTCAAAAATTAAGAGTATGCTGTTTCACCAATACCATGTGGACGGGTTGTATTAATGGTGCTAATGTTGCGTATAAATCTATCGTGTTTCTCTCAGATGGTATTTTACCCCGAGGATAATGATAATGATAATGTTTATCATTTACAATTTCTATACCTTACCAAAAAGCCATTGAAATACACACGTACATGAGTAGTATTAAATTATAATAGTCCCTGAGAATAATATCTGTACCAGGAGACTATTATGGAATGAAATGGCATAGCGAAGCAATTTGAGAAATATGAATAATTTACAAATCGTCTTCATATCTCGAACGAATATACTGGTTAAATTGTCATATAATGGAATTGTTAATTGATGTTTTGACGGTTATTTTGAAGTAATTTAAAACAAAACAGACCTGTTCAGATGAAGTGTGTATAGTCAACATATCAGAACCTCTAGCATGGCATTCATCATGGGCTTCATCAAATGTTACTTGATCAATATCATTCCAATAATAACACATTTCATTGGCTTCTATCCACCCAGGATCACATTCAGTTACTGTTTTAATAATACTGCTTGCTGAGCTTTCTTGAGAAGTAAACATGAAAGTTTCAGATCGGAAGGTAGCAATTTGATAAAAAAACAAAGGGGGTGTTAATTGGCATCAGTATGATGTCATTTAATATTGATGTTCATGTTTTTTTAAAAACTTACAGACACTTGACCTGAACCGTTGAGAAGTTGAAGTCTTTGAAGTTGAAAAATTTGACAGTTAATGATACACTTTTTATTTACACAGTATTAAGTATATAAGTGAATATTTAATTTTATAATCTGTAAAAGACTGCGAGAAGTGGTTTTAATGTAAACGGTTAATTAAAACGTACCTATGGATAGTATGACTAAACCTGTACATAAAATAAGATACATTTTCCTCTGGAAATACAATAAAATCCATGATGTATTAATAATTCATATAATATATGGACATTGGTTTCATACATGTATACAATCATACACATGAATTAATTGTTTATATTTTAAATGGTGAAATATATTCTCTATTGGAAATATTCAGATGGTGTAGTCCGGGAATCACAATTTTTTTCCAAATATTGTTTTTAGAGGCAATATAGTTCCATAAGGAGTATAGTTATTTGTAGAAAGGCTGTTATCAAACGATTTGTGCTGCATATGGTGGCCGCATTGAATATGTGAAATTACGTTGATTATTCTCGGTATTATTTCTTTTTGACAAGAACTTTTTTATAGGCTGATATTAATCAGTGGTTCAATTTTTAAAGCTTCAATTAAAGATGTGATTATGAATAATAAGAAAAAAACCCACATAAAATAGAAACCGTATTACCTCCGTGTACAATTTATCTCACATCCCTTAATATGTTGACCTACTTGTTAAATACTTGTTCTTTTGTCTAAATGGTGGCTAGCTGATAATTCAACGATTGATAAAACCCAATATTTATCACAAATCATTATCTTTATTTATCTGATACGCTACACTATACCACTTGGCAATTCAAGGATGCCCAGTCAGCCTACTGCGTAACATATAATACCAACAGTGTGATTCCGTGTTTTAATTTTCAAATCAGTGTACTAAATTGGATTATAAATTACCTGCTGTGTCAATTCATCTCTAAAATATCTAAGGAAATAGTGAATGAGATATCTTATCTTTGCACCCTGAAGCAACAGTGAATTACGTTTTACAGAATAGGAACATGCCTTTGCTGAGCTGAGTTATATGTACTAACGAGACCTCAAGAGCAAGTAATTTTGCCGTGACAGTAAAAGAAAATATGTATAAAGAAAGAAAAAGAGTGTTTTCAGTATACATGTACACTGTTTATATCAGAAAATTGATCAACCTATTATACGGTTTGTAATATCATTGATATAACTGTTGTCTGATTTAGTATCATTGTTATTCGATGGCTTCCTTTATATCAACGAAGGTCTTCAACGACAGATATTGGTGCTGGAGAATGCTCGCGAGCGCTGAGATCTTCCTGTAATCAATCATGCTGACAAATCGATCGTCTCTTGTGGGTCCGAAGGTGTCCGAACTGCAGACATCAGCAGTGGAGAAATAAACATATCTCTGACAAAAGTCGATCTTTAATTTTGTCAATATAGATCCTGTGTGAAATAAATATCATGTATCTTTGATTAAAATTCTATTTTTTTATCGATGGAGCTAAATTAAAGAAACACAAATTACTTTTCAGAATAAAAATCTCATATCCTATGGAACAACAAGCAATCACTGGTTAAAGTTTTATGCAACGTGATTGTTGTTCCATAAAGCTGTGCCTATATAACGTACTCACAATTGCTAAATGCAAAGACTTTATTCGTCATCAATATGGAGATGTGGCAAATCAACTCATAAACAAGCTTGAAAAGAGTGAGGGTAAACTAATTCAAACATGTATATATAGTCTGCCCATCACTTTTTATCATTATGTGCCTGAGGACGACGGGGAAACACGTCGAAACGTTGCATAAAACTTTAACCAGTGATTGTTGTTCCATAAAGCTGTGCCTATATATCGTACTAACAATTGCTAAATGCCATTCAAAGACTTGACTCGATTCATATCTATTTACACAATGATAATACAGTGAAACCTCTCTAAAAAAAATCCAGGTTCTGAAAAGACATATTTGAAAAGTCCTGGCTGAATCACTATAAAATTTGTAGAAGGAAAACCCTTTCTAAACAGTATCGGACCTATAAAAAGGCTAATCGATAGTTCAATAATTATCGGTACTAATCGGTTGATGTCATTAACACATGCTGTGGAGTAACACCAAAGTATACTTATCCTATTAAAACGGATTTAAATGATTGAACATTACTCCAATGACATTTCATAACTCTTTTGGTGGACTGAAATATACCCAGGGACGTAACTCTGTTTAGATAGCATATTCCCCCTCTAAACCGACACCCTCC